GCTAGCAAATAGTCATGGTACAGAAAGTTGCTAATTTTAAGAAAACTCGGTGATAAAATCTTTAGTTATTGTGAAGGTGTGGCCCAGAGAATGTGTGCCTGCAAGTCAGAAGGCCGTTCACTCTGACAATTTCAGGAATAGGTTTGTGGTCAAATGGCATGGAAAATAAATTGAGCCAAAATCAAACCATATTCCTTCCTCCTCATGGAAATTCTGCTATTACTACATATGTCTAACTGCATTGTGATTATTTATTTCCCATCCCCTTCAAAATGTAGATCTTTGAGCCCTGGAATCCATCATAATACAATTACCAATATTCATAATTAGGCAATCCATCTGTCTTGAGTAACTAAATGGTTAATACATAAAAATAACCCAACTTAACACAGAATTCATACCAACTTCCAAGATTTATTGTAGTTCCTAAGCTCAAGTTGAATGGGCTGAGATGATAGTGGACTACATTACTTATTTTTACCTATCATCAATAAGAGCTCATAAATTGGTTAGTATTTTGATTATCATTAATTTTGCAACTGTGAAGCATTTTCTGTCTCTTTCCAAATCTCTTTGCAACAATAGAAAATCTTTCCAGATAGGCATATACGCTGTAGGGTGTCCAGTAATCAGTCCATTGTCCAATGCAGGATCCAAAATGCCCACTGTGATTACTATTTCATTCCCTCTCCAAAGCCGTCTGTCCAATGTAGCACAAAAAGCATTAACTTTTGACTGATACCATAAGCTCTATAATGTTAGAGTTTACAGGATGAGGATGAAAGAAGGCAAAGGTAGGCTGACAGGATTTAGAAAAAGCATCAGAACTGGGGTAGTGATGCAGACCTCAGAACATCTTCCCGGTGCCCACTATGATGACATCACTGTGATGATATGATGATTTCCCAGGATGCAACATTGCACAAAGATGCCCATGGTATTTCCCATGGCAAAGGTTCACTGTTCAGTTCCAGCCCAGGCTTTTCTATTTTATCCTCTGTCCCTTTCCCAATGCAACTGAGGCCATGAATGTAGCGATCTGACCAGGTATATGAGGAATCCACAAGTCTCATATCCTGAGGCTGGGATGTCTTTCTTGCCTAGATGTATGGAATATCCACAGCTTACTCACCTCCATGAAACCATTCTCTGTCCCCATGATTCAGTGAAAAGAGGACCTCTCCTTGAAGAATGTTACTCAGTTGAATTAAGCCATAGCCATTTGTTCCCCAGCACACTAAATACATGGTGTGTGATCGTATTGGACACATTTTTATTTTACAAACACTTACATATCTATACTATTAATGTTATTTCCCTTGAAAGTGGGCGTTGTACCTTGATCATACCATGTCTCCATTTTAATAACAGCTTGGCTCAAAGTTTTAAAAATGTAGAAAATGCTTATGGAACATGTTTGAATTAAATCAGATTAAATTTAGTTGAACTGCTTGAGGTTATTAGAGTTGCCTGGGTCCATCTGCCTCTGAAGAGTTGAGTTTGTGTGTGTGTGTGTGTGTGTGTGTGTGTGTGTTCTGTAATAAGTAAATTCAGATTTAATTACAGCAATTCATTTCATTTTAATCACTATTAAGGATAGACCCCCCCTAATTTAATGTTGGCTTCAGTTTTACATTTACTATAATAAATCTCTTCTGTTGCTATCAAATTGGAAATACTTATTTTACCATGCAGGGGTAAATCTAAAATGAGAAAAAAAGAACAAATGCATTGAATTTTAGAGGCTAAAGTCATTTTGGAATGGCCAATTTTGTTCTACCTTGTTGTTTTATATGAAGTAGAATATGAGGTATGATCAAAAATATGATCAAAAAATATGGTTGTGGTGGATTAACTAAGGGTCAACGTGGAACGCCCAGCTGAACCAGGTCAGCATGGTTCTGAGTGTGGAAGACCCACCTGAGGACATTCATCAGCGGCACAGAAGGAGAACTGGAGGGGAAGATGGTGGGCTGCTGCCTTTCCTGGGGAGGCTTCCTGTGGGCTGGTTTTCCTGATATGAACGTGGCTGTTCTTACTGTTGGAGGACCTTGGGTCCTTGCTGTCACCAGGATGTCTTCTTCCAGGGAACCCTGATCTTTGCCTTGAGTGTCACTTCCTGTCTCCAGTACAGACCTCTAAGCCCCATGCCACAGAGCCTTTACCCCGCCAGCACACATTTTCTGGCTTCCACCCCTGGCCTTTGGGCCTTCCTGGTGCAGATTGTCAGTATGAATAAGCATGAGACACTGCCATGGGCTCTGGGCCTCTGGCTGGACTCGTGGAGGACACTGCGTTGGACTCTCAGCCTTCAGCTGGACTTGTGCAGGACATTGCCATGGGATCCAGGCCCTCAGCCAGATTCTTCAGGTCTCTAGCGTGTGGACAGATCTCTTGCAGACCTCTGCATTTGACTTTTTGAGTGAATATTATAAAATAATCCTATAAATTGTGTATCCTGTATTAAATCTATTCCCTTGTAAGCCTTGACTACAACAATGGTCAATATTTTAAAACATCTAAATTATTCCTACAAAAGATATGTTGTCATTAATGGTACTCAAAACTCACCTTCACTTCAAACACCTTAGCGCCTTGTTCCTGTCACTTTCTGAATCAGTTCTGGAATCTTCTCTGGTGATTGTCTTTAGTTGCCTTGTTCCAGCTGCCATGTTTGTTTTGGCTTTGGGGAAGACCTGGGAGTCACACAGCATCAGATGGGCAAGGTGGATGAGGACACACTACCATGTTTTTAAGAGTCTGCCTTTTTGTTGGGTTGCACTTACAGCAGCATGCACCATATTTTTAATCACACCTTGTAAAGACACTCAGGAAAATAGGACTCCAGACCTGCTTCAGGAAGTGGCAAGAATGGTGGGTTAAGTGTGCTCAAAGCAACGAGGAGCATCTCCAGAGGGATTCACAGCAATGTGTCTTTTTCTGCAATAAATATTTTAAATTTAGACCTTCACTGTGTAACATGATTACCCTGTGTTTATTCTTAATTGTAACTCAAATATTTCAAATTTCTAAGGGAGAAAACCCTTTCTAAAGACAAATTCTAATCTCCCTATCATAAAAGTTCAGCATTCCAGGGCCCACCTCTTCAAAAGGACAAACAGGAAGCTCTGGGTGACCTCTTCCATGAGCTTCTTCCATCCGAAATGTCATCTTTTCTTTTCATTGAGTGGTAGAGAATTCTCCTTTCCAAGTCTCTGCTCTGACTTCCGGCATGTTCCTTCACACTCCCTACAAAGAGGGCCTAATAATTCCTCCTCTCTGCAGGCTTGACCCATAAAATGTTAGGAGCATTCTTTAGGCCACTGACCATAGTTCCAGGATTTTAGCTCTATTACTACCTGCCTTTTCATGTGCTTTTAGCATCACGCCAGAAATGTTTGAAAATGAGGAAGTTGGTAACCTTAATATGTGGCCACGGCCCACCTGAGTGCCTGTAGTATTTTACATGCTGTAGTGTAAAAATAACCAAGTAAAGGAATTATATGCTGCAGAGGTGAACTGAGCATGACACAGAGGAGCTGCATTTGAAATTTCAGACATTGGCAGGCATAATTCATGAGCCCAAAGGGAGCCACTTAACCACACAAATGGTATCAGATGCATACATTTCTGTTCTACCTTTCTGGAGAAAGCCTCACAGGAATGGACTTCTCCTGGGCCCAAGGCTGGAAGCTAAGAGAGAAAGGAATGCAAGCTCTCTGAGGAGGCTCTACTTTTGCTTTCTTGCCTAAGGCAGACACCATTATCACTGCAGTGAGTTCCACAAGCTGGTCCCCAGATGGAGGAGAAAGTTGGAATCCAAGAGAATGTCTACATTTCAGCCTGCAGGTTGATCTGAAGATTTGAAAAATAAGCTGAAAAGAAAATGGGATGAAAAGTATTGCGAGGATCTTTCAGGAAACCATGACTTGTTTCAAGGGGAAGGTGAGTGAAAGCCTCTGACCCCAAGGGCAAGCTGAGGCGGAGCAGCTCATTTGTGGTGTCAATCACTGGAAAAGTCTCAGCCCTAGACCCCAGGCTCCTAGAGAGGAATCAGCCTTGTGCCAGCTTCTCAAGATGAGCTTCTGGTTTACACACTGCAGTGTCCTGGAATGCTTAAGACCACTGTAGGCTGACGGAAAAATGGCAAAGGTCAATCTTTGCATCCAAAACATGCAGTAGGCAAGGGAGTGTATTTTCTGAGCAAGACCTTTCAGTGCAATGCACAGGACCCCTCATCATCCTTGGTTACCCGTGTTCAGGAAAGCCTTACCCATCATTCCGCCTGTCCATGCACATCCAAGGGACCTGATACTCACAGCAGTGCTCACATGGGCAGCCGGGCCACCATGCAGCTGTCCCTACCAGAGTGATATCCCAGGAATAAATGCAAGACTTCCTAACCAGCTGGTCCTCAAATGTGGTGTTTCTATCATTGTAACCATTTTATGAAAAGAAATTAGTTTTCCTTCAAGGGAGTTCAAACTGAGGATGTTGTTTCTTCTTGATTAGTAGTTCTTTCCATTTAGAACCACACATTTCTTATTAAAATTATACAACAAAATACATATTCTCACAAAAACAAAGTGTTGCATAGGATTTCATGGTATTTGCAGAACGATAAATATGCTCATGCATAACAAGGAAGAGCCCTCCCCTGAAATGAGATTGTGGGTTGAACAAGGGAGCAGAAACTGCTGCTGCAAAATAGGAATTCAACAATGTGGCAGAATAAAAAATACATTTAAAATGTTAATGAGTCTATGCACAAAATGCACATTTTGTGAACCAAGAACTGTATGCTAGAGATAGAGACACAACCTTGTGTCCCTGTGACATGACTAATGTCTCAGATGGGCTCCTTGGAAGGGAAGTCTGGTCACTTGTTGGTGTCACCTCCAACAGCTCCCTCTGTGACATATTTAAGCAGGAATGCATAGTAGAATGACTATAAAGGAGTTCTAAATTCTGTAACCTCAACCTAGCTTGTGTCAAACTAAATGAAACTTGTCCAGAAAGTAAGAGAAGGGGGAGAATGTGAGAAAGATTGATACTATTGCCAAGTTTTGATCTAAATAAAGAAAATGACATATTTGCAAAATATATTTAATGTGCCTAACAGAATGATGCGCTTGAAAAAAACAAAATTGATAATATTGCACCAAAAGTTGATAATATTGCATCAAAGAAACTGAAATACCTAGAGACAGAGCAGTCTCTCTACTTTTTCCAGGTGAGTGTATTAGACTAGGAATTACAAATGCCAGTTTGAAAAAGTCCGAGGTAGCAGTTCAGGATGTACCTGGAAACTCCAGCAGTCTGTTCCAAGCCTTGAGGATCCTCTCTGGTCAGGAGCCTGAGAGGGCTGAGCCGCAGCTTGGGGCATCCTGGCTCCTCTGCTCGGAAGGCACAGACTGAAGCTCAGCCCCAGAGTCGTCTGCCCTCAAGCGACCCCACCTCTATTTCTGCAACACCCCAACCTCCTCCTGCCAGAAACCTGCTCAGGGAGTGAGCACAGTGTCTGCCTGACTTCTCCAGTGCTCCAGAGTCCTGTGGGTGCCTTCATGAGTGTCCTCTCATCATCTGAACACTGGGCCTTCAAGGACCGTGACAGGGGTAGCAAGGGCTCAAAGGATGTGCAACACCAGAGCTGTCACTGCCAAGCGCGGTGTTGTGGAGAGGCTCTGGGCTTACGTGGGACCTTGTGGCCGTGTGGTCTCTACAGCAGGAAGAGAGAACAGCTGGGAAGAACCAATGAGCTGCGAGCTCAGAAGCCCTGAGGGCGGCAGGAGGGCAGCAGCACCCACACCGCCTGCCAAGATGCTTCCCTCCTCCTAGCTGAGTGTAGTTCAGACTCCTGGTTCCTTCCTAGAAAATAAAGGTAAAGCAGTGAAAGCATGAGCTTTACAGGATGATGCTGCAGCAACCAAGGATGCAAAATTACCGTCCCCAGTAACGTCATGCTGGCATCATGGGCCCTCGATGGGAGCAGAACTTCACCTCGTGACCTTCTTCGCTAAAAACATGTAAGGTCAGTGGTTATGGAGACAACTCAAAGGACTAGGGCTAGAGGTCCCATTCGACCCAGCTATCCCCCTGCTGGGTATCTTCTCATACAAAGAATTAAAAGAATCATACCACAGTGATATATGTGCACCCATGTTTATAGCAACACAGTTTGTGATAGCTAAAGCTTGGAAACAGCCCAAATGCCCATCAACTGGAGACTGGATAAAGAAGATGTGGTTTTTTTATAAAATGAAGTACTACTCAACCATAAAGAACAAGAAACTAGAGACATTTATAGCTAAATGGATGCACATTGAGGCCATATTCTTAAGTGAAATAAATAGGACACACATGTAAATACTGAATAGTTTCTCTAGTGTGAGAAACTAAAAGTGTAAATAAGGATTAAAATGACTAAAATGAATAATTGATAATTTGAAATAGGAAGAAAAGGTTCAAAAGGGTAGGGGAAGTGAGAGGGGCAGAGGAAAGGAAAGAAGGGAAAGGAAAAATGATGAGAAAATGAAAAAAGGGAAACAAAGTCTTTGTAAATAGGGAAGGGTGGAGGGGGTGAAGGGAGGGCAGGGGAATGGGGAAAAAATAAGAACCAAGATATATCATGTACAGGTACGAGGACCCAATGATAAATATAAACATATTGTATACCTAAAATGTACCAATGAAAGAATTTAAGCAAAAAAATCCTATGTAAGCTCAGTCAAATTTTGCGACAATACCAGAGAAACTCAAGTTAATGGTCACTGGGCAACATACTTGCCCTGAACTTTTGAAAAGTGCCAGGGTTAGAAGAAACAATGGAAGGCTAATAAAAGAGACAGGAGGACTAAGATTGAGTTTGGCCTGGCATCCTGGATTGGTCCTGGAAAAGAGGAAAAAAAACACGTGGAAAAGATGGCAAAATCCAAGTAATGGTAAAGCATCAATGCTAAGAGTTTAGTTTTAATACATTAACCAGGATTGAGTAACATAGAGGAGGTTTAATGCAAGTTATGTGTGAGCTTTTCTCTCTTTACAGTTTCTCTACAATTCTGAAGCATTTTTAAAAAAATAAAAGTGAAATAATAAGTTCTAAAATAGGAAAGAGTTATGAAACTCAGTTATGGTAAGGCAAATACAAGTTAAAATGCATTGGGAGAATACTGAGCATCTATCAAGGGGTAGAAATGCAAAAGGATGACAGCATGCTCTGTGCATGTGGGTAGGGAAGACGCTGGAGCTGCTGTGTATTCCCGGTGAGAATGAGAAATTACACTCTCACCATGGAGAGCAGTTTGATAACATCCAGAACAAAATAACATATGCATTTACCTTTTACATTTTTACTCATAGAAAACTGTAACAATGCACATTGCCCAAGGGTGATATCTTCTATTCTAACTTTATTTGTAGGAGCAAAAGGTAGATGGACATCAAATGTCTACAAATATGAAAATGACCACAATAGAGAGATCCAGACGATGGTACCTCATGCATCTGTAAAATGGGATGAGACGGATCTTTGGTACGAACTGATTACTAGAAGATTTTATAAATTGTAAAAGAACAGAACTTTGTATACAGCATAACAACGTTTTTGTAACTCGACAGGAGAGAGAATGAGAACAGTGAAGTGTGGAGGAGAATGCATATCTTCCAAAAGAAAATCTGGGATATATAGAATAATGAAGAATAAATTAAAATTCCAAAAGAAGATCAAAGGCACAGGGATGAAGGTAAAAATTATCTTAAAAAATATTTTCCAAAATGCATTGACTTGAAAATCCTTTATTTTTACACTTATGGAGAGTAAAATATAGGAAGTTATGAAATACCATCCTCCCTCAGAAGGTGCATTCCCTCTGCATCCCACAAACACCCAAATGTGCAGATGCTCATTTATTATATAAAAGGACCTAATATCGCCACGAGACATACACACAGCCTCCCATATACCAAATCATCTCTGGATTACCTATAATATCTAATGCAATGTAAATATCATGTAACTAGTGGTTATGTGGTATTGTTTCCGCAATAATGATAAGAATAAATGTCTATATATGTTCTGTACAGGTGCAAATATTTCCCAATATTTTCTGTGTGGCTGAATAAATCCATACATGCAGAACCGCAGGATATGAAGGCCTCATTATATAAGAAGAATAATGAAACTAATCAAAGTGCATATTTATGCAATGACATTCACAAAGATAAATGACTTTTCAAGATAATAATATTTTGTCTCTATATCCTTGTCAAATACAGTTTAGAGCTGCAAAGAAATCCACTAATAAAGTTATCTGTAGTATTAGTTTATTTATTTTAAAACTATTTTCTTTTTATGATAGGAAAATACAAATAGTTAATATACCATTTTCAGGATTCTGTATTTTCATGTAAGAGAAAAAAGAAAACATAACAGAAACGAGGTTAAGGAAAATCAGTACATGTGAACTTTTAGATGTATCAACATAGATGTTTGCTTTTTATTTAAAACTGCATGTTTTCTAGATATGTATGCAGAACTCTAAAGGCTGTGATAACTCCATGGCAAAAGCCAAAGCCAGGGACAAGTTAATAGTTCCTAAGCAGCATTTCCCAATTGAAATCGCCAGAGTGCTTTGGTGAGTGCTCAGTCCTTATCCTGGGCAGGAGCTACATCAGACCCTGTAGGAGCCTTACTGTGTCAGAGAGCAAGGGAGCCGCCAAAGACCAGTAAGGCCCTGCAGAACGACCCACCCTTCAATGTAGGACCCCATTAGAAGGGAAACTCTCAGCATAAAAGTAATTAATATGAACGAATGGCTTTGCAGCACCTTGGCTGCATGAATGCAAGTGTAATCAGTGAGGAATACAGGGGCTCAATAAATATTCTTATGAGAATATATTTGCCGCACATAATTATCGCACTCATCTTGGGAAACCGGTGCATATACGTATTGCATCTTGATCATTTTTACTTCCCTTTTCTTCCCCTCACTCCCCCTCCCTCCTTCCCAAGACCCCTTTCCCATCTGTAGACTTCCTCCTTGTTTTCTACTATCTCTATTTTATCTCGCTCTTTAAATTATTTATATTTTGGATCTCTCAAATTAAAGAAACCGCACAAGACTTAACCTTCTGCATCTGATTTACTTCCTTTAGTGTTATGATCACTAGATCCATCCACGTTCCTGCCAATGACTCCAATTTATCCTTCTTTGTAACTGCATAGTACTTCGTTGCATAAATGCACATTTCGTTTATTTGTTCACTGGGATAGCCAATTTAAATACTTCTGCACAGCAAAGGAAACAACACAGTGAAGAGACAACCTACAGAGTGGGAGGAAATTTTTCCACCCGAAACCTGAACAAAACACTAATATCTAGAATATACAAATAAATCAAAAAATTAGATCCCCTGAAGTAAAAGTCCCAGTCCAAACACTGGGCAACTGAAATGATGGCAAGTTGTCTTTGAGGAGACCCTGTGTTCTCAGCCAAGCGCGCCACTGACTCTGGCTCAGACTCCTGAGCGTCCTGCAACCACGTGGGTGACCCCGGGTCCAACCTTGCCTGAAGGCGCTCCCAAATACCCGGAGTCAGGCTTGCAGCGTCTGTGCTTTGGGGTGATTTACTGTACAGAAACAGAGGTTCAATTAAAACATAACTGGGAGCAATCAAGGCACTAACATCTCACTCATGAAATTGGGCTGAAAGGGAAGACTATGTGTTCACTTTTCAGTTCAGGGATGAACTGTATTTCTGAATAGTGACTTAGGTGAAAGTTTGTTTTCACAAAAGGACTCCAATTAATGAATACAAAAGGAGAAATCCATTGGTAAGTCACATTTTTTAAGCCCTGCCTTACTCACCGATTTAGACAACCAAAGTTAGCACCAGAGGAGCTGGGGAAATGCCTAATGATGCCACAGTGCTGTCGCCATGGGGACCTAGGCACTCACCTAACGTATGTCTAAAAACAAATAAAATAATTTTAATGAACAAAATATAGTGTGTGTAACACATTTTTTTCTTGTTCTACACAATCAACAGGAAAAGTCATTTTTGAGAAGATCTGTGAACTCCGAGTATAGTCTGCTACGACATCAAGGAATTACTAATAATAATTTTATAAGATATGAAATGGTATTGTGGTTATTAAGAAATACCCATGTTTTATAAAGCGAGATCAAATATCTATGCTGAAATGAAATAACTTTTTGGATTTCTTTTTTTTAATTTAATTTTATCCCATTCCCCCCTCCTCCCCTCCCTAGGTACAAAAGCTTTAAGGAAACAGGCAAGTCTAATCTATAATGAGACAGGTAGGCTAATCATTTAAATGATATAGAAAATTAAACATAGGAGCTGTGGATGTAGCTCAGTGCTATAGCACCTGACTAATATGTTACAATACTCTGAGTTTGATCCTCAACATTGAAAAAGAAAATTATGTAATTATATCAAATTCAGAAGAGTTGTACTAAAAGAAAAATTTTAGACTTAAATTTGACAGAGTTTATTTAAAGAAAGAAATATTCTTGTATGAGTCAGCATCCTGAACCAGTTGACATTTGGCAGAAATATTAGGGAGCAAGAGGAAGTGAGGGAAGAAACAGCTGGATTTGGTGGCAGCAGTGTACTTGCTTTGTATGGGCCTGGTCTGATCAGTTGGTAGCCTATAATTGGCTGAAGCTTGGCTACTGTGATAGGCTGACACTCAGTTATTTCTTACAAGAACATACTCTTAGGCTGCATTTTGCTGTGTAGGAATTCAAGCTCTGTTACAGCTTCAGACCTAATTTAATTTAATTTAATTTAATTTTTCTGCTGTCAGCACTAGTGTGGAGGTCAGGGAGCTGTGAACACAAAGTAGTGCCTCGGGTCTTCTACAACACACAGCATTTACTATCTGTTCATTTATTAAACACAACTTACAGGGTTTAGACACAGCTCCCTGTTGGTCTCCACTTCATAATAAAAATAAAACCTTCATTTGCTTAGGAAATACAATTCTGATTGAGGATGAGATGACAATCTAAAAAATATATCTTTCACTAACAAGGAGCCAAGCTATAGTTCTTTGCCTTTCCTTGGTGAACAAATATATATACAAGATTGGAATTTACAGTCGTGGTGTTAAGGGTGTGAACAACTAGAAACATTTCCCTCTGAGCAGTGGGCCAAGGTGTGCATGAGGACACTTGCCTTTTCTATGCAATAGCTTTCTGTAATGTTTCATTTCTTGACTATGTTTAGTTACTGTTTTCATACTACAAGAACACTGTTGAGTAAAGATAAGAGTAGATTTCAGGGGAAACACAATGATAAGGGAAACACAATTAAGTTTGAAAAGTATAATCTCAGCCAACAAGCCACTTTCTGCATGAGCTATAAAGAACATCACTTAGAGTGTTCGATTCTCCACCTTGAGTCTCTTCCTGTTTCCCTATCTATGCCACAGCTATTGCTACCTCTAGAGACTATTGGAATTTCCCATCCAGTTTCCCTTAGTTTCACTGTCTCTGCTTAGCTGGAATCTTTCACAAACCTTACCTCTCACAGAGTTCTTTTCATGAGCCAGACTGCTACCTGGCGTTGCTCCTAATTTCTAAAATGTCCGGAATTCAGACAAGAGCTGCTTTCTGTCCACTGCTTTTGATTCCAGTCAGTATTTTTTAATTTAGGGGTCAATATCCCTTTTCTGGGGTTCAGCTAGAAGAGGGAAGAGGAAGATAAAATAAATACAGGCTTCCTGGGCCATGTAACTTATCCTATGCCATACATCTTAGCATTCGAAGAGTAAGTTAACACATAACTAAGACATAAATAAGTGTAAAATTATGCTGTGTTGTGGAACTTATTTATTTAAGAAAGATATTATCACCCCAAATGAAGCACTCTCTCTAGAGAAAATTGATAGATGTTTATTGTGTCACCATCACTAAATCATAGAAGCAAGGTCACTTATTTTTTATGTAATTTCATTATACATCACTTTGGCATAAAACTAAATTTTTAATTATTCAATAAATGGTGTTAACTATTTACAGAAAATATTTATATACTCATAGTACTTGAATGTTCATTTTATTGTAAAAATTACAGAAGAGATGCTAACTAAAGTGTAAGGTCATCATACTTAAAGAAAAGTACATCTTTAATAAAAAAATTAGTATTTAAACTACTTTGAAAATTGGTTTACAATCTTGCTTCACTCTCTATTGCAAAAAAGGGGAATAGACAGATTAAAAGTGTCAAAGGAAAAAGTAAACTTATTTTTAAAAAGTCTTGGAAAACGATAGGAACTCTGATCTTTAGATGAGGTAGTATTGTGTACATGTGAAAGAGAAAAGAATCCAGAGGGACAGAGAGTGGAGTAGAGGTCTCCTCGGACCAGAAGAAAGAGTGGGGACTGATTGTAAACAGGCACATGCAATGCTTTGGGAGCAATGAAACTTTTCCAAAACTGCATCCTAGTGATGGATAAACAGCTCTGAAAAATGTCTGAAATGATCGAATTGTACATTAAACAATGGTGGATTTTATGGCATGTGATTATATCTCAATAAAGCAGATTAATTGCATGAGCTGTTTGACAAAACTGTTCAAGCTTCAGCCTGACATACAAAGAGCTTGGACATCATCACTCTCACCCTTTTAATAATAAAATCCTGGTAAACTGAGTTTCAACAACTTTTCTTGGGTTCTTCAAAGAATTGAGTGTTGATCTCAAAATCAGGAGAGCAAGACATAACCAGAAAATTAAAACTGTGATCTGCTTACTTTGATTAGAGGAAAACAGAGACATAGCTGGTGCAAAGTAGTAATTGTGAGGAGCTGGAGGATGGACGTGAACCACTAGGAAAGTAAGATACATCTGTATCTATGAGAGCTTATTGTACACATTAGGCACACTAAGAGATAACAACTACTAGTAAGATAATAGAACAATAAAAAATACTGTAGTAAAACTGCCAGCACCAATACTCCTGTGCCTTGGGGTGATCGTAACATGAAGTAAGGATTCCTGGAAAACAAGCGCTGTGGTACGAACAGTCCATCTGAGAACCAAGATGGCTGACAGGGGTCAGGTAGCTGGAATGGTATACCATGTGGAAACGCTGGATGAAAGGGTGATGCGCACTCCCTGGGCAGCATGGACAGGCAGTGCAAGATTTCCTCACACTACTCAAAAGTCCCACACAATGTAAAACTTGAGAGTT